ATATTAATTTTAACCTACACATTCTACAGACACATTAAACAGAACGTAAAATAACAAATGAGAACATACAAAAGTGTATTCTTCATGTAAAGAAAGAGAGAAAGTTTATTACAATATCAACCATAAATTATTCATATCACTTTTCATTCGTACTACTTAAAGTGCTCTGTAGACGTTAGGATACACATCCAGAAAAATACGAAGTTGGTTAGGAGCCCCTATATTTGATAAATGTTAAATTAATCTAAAATTAAGATTCTATCCATTAATATTTCCAACTGAATTGGTAAATTCTTTTCTCTAACCTCCAAATATTTCAAAGCCGAATTTTACAGAAATGATTTTTTAGTAAATCTGGTGGGTTTTTTTGTGGGGGGTGGAGTCATCACGATTTTGTGCTTAGGGATCCCGCAGTACCTAAATCCGTCCCTGCACATAGGTATCACAAGAATGTTAAACTACTATCAATCTGTCTCAATACAGACGTCTGCTTCTCACAAAGTACAGAACACGTTAAAAAAGTCTGATGTACTTTTTATTACTGTCAAAAGAAATGTACTGTGAGTTTGTTCATCATGCACAGCAGGTGAATCCACGAAATACTATTTTCAAAGGTAAAAGCCTTGGGGTTTAAATATCACAATATTTATAAAAGCTGCTTTAAACGTACAGACACATCGATTTCGCTGGAAGACATTTGCAGTTGCGAAGAAGTATTTAGGTAAATATTAATTGGATACACAAAATTATTACTCATGTTCTACCCATAGTAATCAGAGAGCAATATTGAAGCCCATGGTCATGAAGTATAACAAACGCAAAACAAACACACAGCACAAAATATAAACATTCTAACTGATCTTAATAACGAAAATATACCAGAGTTCAAGAAACCATGCACATTTTACACTTCTCCCTATAGTACGTCACGCATTTTTAAACTGTTTTTGACGTTAATTAAATAAAATATACATGGATAACTCATAGAAATAAAAGCGGGTATAAACTGTAATTAAGTATTGCCGGACTCATATTCTAATGGAATTACTTTTTTCTCTCCATAAAGAATAGTAATTCCTTAAGTTTTGCCTTTGAGTTTTGTTATTCTACTTACATATTCATGCATTGACTTTTGGTCAAACGAAGTGGAGTGACAACAAATGCTTGAAAAATACACATTTGAAGAATTTCCTTTGAAAACAAACTTAGAGATTTGTGTAGATGAACTTAAGAAATGGATTAACGCAAACCTGCCTGGAAATATAGAGCGAGGATTTACTGTTTTTGTAACAAAACTTTAAAAATAATTTATAAGAATAACACTTTGGGAATAAAAGTTCCTCAAAGATGTCACCTACCTACTCCAACGATGGTCCTACGCGCACATAGCGCTTGAGCCTACCAGCAAATCGTCGGGCAATGGATTAATATTTTATCGATTGTGTGGGAAGTAGTAAAACGTTATTTACACGAAGAACATTTTTTCTCACATGATAGGTGTCACAGCTGGTGGTCAGATTATATTATATATTTCTGGTGTTAACACAGCTCGTATTTTCCCACAAAATTACGCGAAAAGTTCTCAAAGTTTTTAAAAATTGTACATTTCTCTTATTTCGAAATCTATCTTTAAGGGGAAGATTTCGAAAAAAATCCCTATCTTCATCATTGTCCTAGAAAGACGCTGAACAAATTTTGAATTATCGCAATTTTTGAAAAATTAGAGTTTTTAAGGAGCATGGGACCTCCACTATTCTCTTAAACATTCTTGACACTATCCAAAAAATAAGTAAATCAAAAATGAAGGCTCATTTTTTTTTTTCCCCTAAGTTTTTCAAAAGATGTGTATTCGTTGTTTTTGATTTATATAGTTTTAATCTCATCCCCCTTTCGTAGATAATCCTTCAAAATGATCTTGATCCACCTCAATTTTGATATCTAGGTTCGGGAGCCAATATTAGATAATTTGATGAGCAACGTCCAGATTTGGCAGATGTGTATGAAGGGCATAAACAACACTTTACGGGCTTACTCCACCTTTGTAGAAAGTAATTACAATTATTAGGTCACAAAAAAATTTTTGGAGGTAGACGGAAAATAAGATCAAAGCTGTTACATTAAGAGCTTTTGGTAGACAATGTGTGGTCACAACAACACTTGGACAGAATTAGGGATTAACGATATAAGGGAACGAAATGAAATTTTAGAAAATCAATATCTTGTGACCCTGGATGGTCGAGGTGGCTAAGCAGTGTGTACTGATTCAAGCCCTTCGTCGAAATGGTTGTGGATGTGCGAGACCCGGCCTTGGAATTGGTTGTTTTCACTTCGTCGCTTCAACGTTTTGTGTTGTCGCGGAGGGCCTCAGCGTTCTGTTGACACCCCCCCCCCCCCCCCCCCCCCCTCAAATGGGAAGTAATCACAAGGGCTTGTTGGTGTTCTAGTTATTGTCGAATATGATTCCTATAGGATGTAAAGGGGTAGCCAGGTTAACTGGAGAAAAGCTTTAGAAAAAAATCAATGAAATAGAGATCAGGGAAAGTGTTGTATGCACACGTTCTCGCGCATGGATAGTTAACATAGTCAAAACGAGATTTGCAGTGGATGCAAGCAAAACGCTCATTAAGAGATCACGCGCTCAAACTGGAAACAAGAAGTCTTTAAGAGGTCAAATGACAGCCAAACCCAAAAATGACTGATGAAAAGTATAAATTCCTGGAAATGAGAGTCACATCAGCCGTGCTGTATGAGCCATCTTCTTTGGGTTCCACCACGACATAGCTGACACACGTCTGAGCTCAAAACCACACACGCACGCCAACGCGAAATTTGGAGTGAAGTGGAGCAGGACAAGTGCCAGAACTGCAAAAGAATAAAAGTACTGCGCCGGTGGCGTTTTGACGGCTGAAATGATCATGAGGGTTCGCGAACGCGGACTTCATTATTCGGTGAACCATGGCTCATTATATACTTACAATCTTAACTTTACATACGATACTAACACTGAGGTTTTTATAGTTTGCCAGTCAAATATGCACTGCTCTTGAGTGTCATGGTTTGCAGTTACACTGCCCCCACACCCACCCAGCCACACACACACACTCACACACTCACTCAACGCGATGACTACCCTCGCTTCGGGAGGTTACACGCACGGTTGTTCCATCCACAGGCACTCTGCGGGCGGTTGTGTTCTGGTGGTCAGAGTGCACTCCCGACAATCTGTAGCGTGGGGACTGTGGAGCATGGGCGACGACCGTCGGTACGTGCAGACCCTTGGGGGGGGGGGGGCGGGTTCGGTACTGTTAGGTACTAAGTTCCATTCTGCCGGATGTGATTGAAGTAATTATCCTGTTAGAAACCGGGCGGGGGGTCGAAGCCAAGCAGGCCAAAGTCGTTGCAATGAGGCACTGCCCCAATTTGAATAGCTTAGTTGGCGTCGTGCACTGCACGTCCACGGTATTCGCGACATTAAGAAAAGGTTGAGAACCAACTTATTCCCTTGTAGATGCACACAAGTTTATTTCCGTTTTAATCAGTGCTTAATTTATCCTTTATATACATATCTTAAGAAAAACATTTTTACCTGAGTGTTGCAACTCGCCGTAGACCATTTTTTCTTTGTCTGTCCACTTGGTTCCTGGAGCCGCACTTCCCGTTCGTAAAATTCTCCACTCATTCTTCTACATGACCCTTTCAAACGTGACCAAAAGTGTTTGAGTGTTATTTTTGAATTTGGAAAATTTATCGAAAGTTCGGCCGAAAGGGATTTTTACAGTGAATTTTAGTGATGGCTACCCCTTTTCTATTATTTTCCCCACGTGATTAGGCGTATTTCAAAGTGTTCCGTGTTTTCCAGTGCTACTGGGGAAATACCCGGATTTGAACACCTGATAACAAAGACGAATAAGCGGCGCCTGTAGAATTTCGGGCCCTTGCGTCAGCCCCCGTCGTGATGGCATGGATTATTAGAACGCACTACGTTAAATCGCCGAACATCTTCATATCGAAATAACAATTAGAGGTACAGAAAGTTGATAAAAAATATGAAAACATTCTTGCTATTATTAAAATATATTACCCACTCTTATGTAAGATCACCTTCACCTATTAGAATGAAATATTAACTACAATTTTTACTGAGATTAATACCCGTAGACGTTTGTAGTGGCCGGAAACAACCAATAGGCCAATCAACGGTGGTCGTCACCGTGAAAGACTAGCAGAACGAACAAGGATCAGTAAATGAAAATAAACGCTGTCTACACAGCTTAGTGACGGGAATTGCGGCCATTAAACCTCCCACCTCACCATTTCACGTCTTATGACAAGTACCTCCGATTAAACCAATTGCTTTTGCCCATAGAGGAGTATAGCTGCTGAGCGGCTCCATGTGAATGTGCCTTCTTGTTGGCAAGCTTGTTGAAAAACAAAGCTTCACCGCGCGAGGTCGCGATGGCACTCGCTGAAGCCAATTTTGTAAGTTTCGCTGTGAAACACAACCCTTTCTTCCGTTGTAAGCGAAGCGAGTTATTGTGTCAGTGACCGTATCCTAGAAAAATGGGGTATTATGATTGGAGACCCTGCAATACAAGCAGAAATGCTTTGCGAGGTCGTAAGACACCAAGCATTCTCAGATCCATGTGAAACTGGATTTATTGACGTGTGCAGGTTATACTAAGATTTATTAGTCATAATAAACTTCGAAGTGATTATGAAATTAAATATCTAATTTGAACTGAAAGACAGAAAGCCATTCAAAATACTTTGTCTTATATTGTTATTGAGAAATAATTTAATATTGTCAAAGAAAAAATGATCCGACAAGAAAAGAAGATGGACTCGTAACTGACTCTCTGACGATTAAGGCGTTGTATCTGCCCTAGATACTAATTCTAGTAACACCCACTCCATTCCGCCGAGGAAAAAAAAATACAAATAAACGAAATAGACGTCACCTTCTGGTTTAAAAAAAAATATTCTTTTTTCCTTTTCCTCAGCGTTTCACAGCTCCCTCAGCATTCTTGATTTTGCAAGTAATTGGTGATGGCCCGTCCGCTTTTTTTCTTCCATACCACACTTAAGAGTGGTGTGTGACATTTGAGGTTCAGGGACACTAGACAAATTGTACTAAAGCCAGTGATTATTAAGATTTGTGTCCGATCTCTTAATAAACAGAATATGTTCAAGTAACCAAGCAAACTGCATTTACTACATGCAATATGAAGTCCCCTAAACATATGTAACAAAGAACAGTCTTGTTAAGACCTCTCAATAGTTATTTATACATGTATTTCATGCATTTCAGATTCCTGATTTTTCACATATGAGTTTTTCAGTGTATGTAGACCTCTGATATCGTAAATAAACTACCAGAATCAACAACCATATTTTATGTGAAGTTACTGCCTATAGAATTATCCTCCGATGCAATTTGTTTTTTATTTAGATTTATTTAGTCAAAAACAAGTAAAATTGTTATGTGACGTTTGAGAGAAAACGATCATCAGCGATGTTTTTCTGAGTTTCCAGAATCCCTTCCCATCAATTTAACTATAAATAGTTTGAAAGGTGAGTTAAAAGTTAAATATAAATCAAAAATCTAGTTTAAAAAGGAGCCAGATTAGCAACATTTGGAAAAAACTAGATATTTTAATTCCCAAGTTATTATATTTGCAGCGTGTGAACGAACTGAAGGTTTTTATATTTATGTATTATCTATACTAAATAGTAACTCGTCTGACCTCTACATCTTTACCACTTCAAGGAAAAAGAGAGTTAACAAAAATGTGCGCATAGTGAAGCTATATTTTACGGCCAGAAGCAAAAACAAGGAGCCATCTCAGCATTTGCTCAATGTTTTATCATTGAAACTGGAAGAACCACCTGATCGACATCGAGTACATTATTTATTACAGCGTGGTTAAGTCTTGTTAAAACCGTTATACTACATAAATATAAAGTAATTCATTACATATTCACTATTTTGCTTCAAAATAATATATACTTTTTCTTATTGATGATCAGTACGGTCTCTAATTGGCATTCGAAACACTGTATACAAACAGAAAACTTTACTTTTATCTTAAAAATACGTTAACTGTCATTCAAAATTTTCTAATTTCACGGGCATGTCAATCTTACGTATGTAAAGGATAAAAACCGCACAAACAAAGGTAAACAAATTCTAAAAAATCTCGAATTCCACTAATCGAAAGGAATTTTTTTTTACTAAATTAGTTTTCTTTTTACGACCTCTTTTGTAGAGACCACAGAGTCCACCCATCTTTCCGTAGCCAAGGTTCTTTGTGCGTGCAGCGTTTATGGACAGTAAAGAAAAAACAATCTTTCTCCTTTCTCTGCGGAATTTTATTCTTTAAAATTCTCTCTCAGCCTGTCATCAAGAGAGTGAACTGCCAATATGAATGGCAAGCTTATGATTCTCCCAGTCGAGTGAGACATTTTTTTCATTTCGCATCCGATCTCAGAGATCGTTTTTCGTGGAAACTTTTTCATAAGTATCTATGGTGGTATTAAAATGCTCTTAAAATTGAAGATACAAAGTGGGATGGAAGTTTTTTAAGATGTTAAAGAAGAAAAATTGTTGTTTACCGGACAAAATTTGCGAATAAAATATTTTCCACTGCTGTGACAGCGTATTTAAAAGGTATTGTTTGTGGCCCTATATTTCGCCATGAGATTTCGTTGCGCTTAATATTTCCATATTCTGTATAAATTATTATTCAGTAATGAACTTTCAATAACCAATATAAATGAAAGTTCTATTAGTATTTTTAAAAAAAGTTTTTTTCTCTTTAATTTTTCACTTTCTCGCTACGGAGTAGAGGAGAAAGTTATGTGAATGCTGCACGGAAACGCCTTAATGTTCGCAGAGAAAAACACTTATTACATGCCCGCTGGTTACCAAAAAAAACGGCATAAATTTCCAGTTGCTAACTTTATAAATTAAATATACCACGTGGTGTAGCAGAATTCATGCTTTTGTGAGTAGCCTCTTGATACCGAAAACGTGAATGAGAGCGAACGTGTGTCCGGTCCGTCCGTCCGTACATCTGCGTTCGTTAGTTTTCGCGGCGGGAGTCAATGCATTTCTTGGCTATCCGGGATGAGGCAGGCGTCATTGGGTCCACTGTACTGACGCGTTTCGCCATCTTTGTGTGGCCTTCTTCCAGAGCTATACTTTTGGGCTATACTACTCTGAGCAGATAAGCTCCGGAGAAGCCTTAACAGGATTGCTGAAATGACAGTACAAGAATGACGAGACGCGGGCTTCAATCCCGGGATAGCCAAGAATGCATTGGCTCCGCCGCAAAAAAGCCTACGAACGCAGATGTACGGACGGACGGATAGCCAAGAATTGCACGTGTGCACATGTCTGTCTGCTGGAACATCGCTAGTGGCTAAAACGGTGCAACGATTTCCTCAAAATTAATTTCTCTAATCGATCTGACTAATGTCAGCTCCCTTGAATGTTGGAAGGTCGATATTTTAATTTGGGGTACTTTACATGTAGCTCCTGGAGACATTTTTCAAAGTTTATCA